ATGAAGTCTATGAGTAAAGATTGACTGTTCAAGGTTATCTTGTCGGTTAAAGGGTGGTCTTACAATGACTTGACGTGACATAAACCTTAACCATGTCATATAGACAATGATGTCGGGCTTTCAGTGACACATGCACAAGATTGACGTGACAAACATGATTTGGTAGGTGATATGATGAAATTTAATAAATTTCGCGAGTAGATTTCCGAAGACTCACTAGTTGTCTCTACTGGGTTCGTGACTCAGAAAAGGTTTAACTTTAGGGTCATAAGGATTTCTTTGCATATCTTAAATAAAAGTGCTTCAGTATACAAGTGCGTAACAAGAAACACACCGGTTACAACTAATTCTTCCTTGATTTCATTCCTTGTTTCAATCACGATTGTTTTGATCGAGTTGTCACCTCCTGGTTCTTCTGTCTTAAGCAGTTTCACTATCTTTATAACAAGCTTTCTTCAACCAGTGCTTGTTCTAATTTTTGAATCTCATCTATTGGTAGCATACTCCTATGAGCATCACCTATGGTGCTTCTCAAGTGTTGGGTTAAGCAGAGTCGTTGCCCATGATTTACACATAATAGTTCTACTCGGTAAATTCTATGTTCTTAAAAGTGTAGGTCACCTTCTTTTGAACTTGGATGGTTCAAAATTTAGACAGAAGGTTCACAACAAAACAAAATGCACAGATTGAATACCTAAGCAGAATTCGAAAAGATTCATGAAGGTGCGTATTTTTAGAAGGTATTCTTGAGGTGTCTAAAAGAAGTATTCGTTGAATATTATAGCCTAGAACTTAGCATTCTGAGATATACTTCAAACATGATCAACGTTTATGATACATATAGTTTCATGAGAGTGTTAGACAAATATCCACTAAGTATTTGTAAGTGTCCACTCAAGTTTTCGAGAGTTCTTAAGCTATTCGAACTATGATTGTCTTTAATATATTGGATTCCAAGCGTTTTAGTCTACGAACAACCGAATCCAAGCTTGATTGTGCATCAGTCCAACCATAATTCAACATAGGTGATAAGTCTATGTCTAGTTGTGGTTTGTCCCACATACAATCATCGTAGCTAAGGTGTTTGACCCAAAACCTTGTATTATATTGGCATTTGAGGGTTCGGGTTTATATATGTATGTATGTATGTATGTATATATATATATATATATATATATATATATATGTATAACCTATATTTGTGGGTTTAAGGAATATACTTAACCTAATAGAGTGAGCGCTAGGCTATAGACGCACTTTCCTAAGAAAGTACTAGTTCGCTATAGCCAATAGCTCTGATACCAATCTGTCACACCCTCGGCTGCCTGTAGAAACGCTGAGGTGCGCGATATAAATCAGTAATCACGGTTATTGAACATACAATGAACAGTACAAATAAAATGTTCTATTATTATCGAAATAGAAATACATTGATAATGCCTATTACTAAATCGTGACATAGGCCTAACAATCCGACATTTACAGATGTACAATAAAGATAATGGAGAGTCTTCTAACGGAACACTTTCGACCTGCTAAATAATCTGAGAATACATGCATTTAAAATACATCAACAAGATTTTTGGTGATTTCTACAGGTATTGACACGTAATATTCTTATAATCCAAAAGTGTTTTATAAACTTTCTCTGGTCGACTAGCTTGTATAAATATGTATCTTTTTTATCGAAAGTATAAAACTAAATGAGTTTTAAAAGTGTATTTGGACTCACTTAAAAATATATTGTTTGCTCGAATCCAAAAATAACCATTTGTTGAATATATAAGTAAATCAAATTTATAAAAAATCTTTACGGTTCCCATGACCAAATGATTTTTATATAAATATTTTGAATACAAATTTATATAAAAGAAGTCATATCACTCTTTGTGAAAACATAAAGTATCCATATTTTACTCTTGAAAATCCGGTACAAGCATTTGTATAGTTCATATATAAAACTCGTAAGTTTCGAGTTTATAAACATTGAAAATTAATGTCGTAGTTTTAATTAAGTATTATCTTACTTAATTTGGGAGCCGAACCGGTGGGGCAAATTCTTCCCACATACATATTGTGTTTTCGTACAAGAACAAATGTGTTATATAAATAACTTATTTATTGTAAGTTATTAAACCATAATCAGTCGTGTCATGGTATTAATTAAGTATTATACCATATAATTTTTGGTATTGACACTTAACGCTTTGAGCCACAAACTATCCACTACATACAATCTTTTCCCACTAGTGTCGTTGAACAAAACCCCATATGAATCCAATATCTATTCTATATTATAACAAGGCACACACCAAACTATGGCGTACACCTCTGCACCAACACATACAAGTTTAAGTGCTGAAAGTCCACACCCAAGTCTGCTCAATCTTGGGTACTTTATCGTTTGGGAAATGCAATCGCCCGTTTCGACTACTCAGCCGATGGTTGTAGCTTGCAACGGTAGTAGTATGAAAACCCATATAAGTATGCGATCCCAAACTTATACCCGACGTTCTTCGTTCGAATACAAATTAACGGTTATGACACAGAGGAATTTTCCACTACGATGTACGGTCTAAGGATTGTGACAAACATAGCATGTGCAACTTAGGAATTGATCCTAACTCATAAAGCTTTTAGAACAATTGTAGAAAATATAGAACGTCACATAGGGTTGATGGCTCCTAACAATGAGTCTTGGCATCCTGATCCTAAATTCTCCATATTAAGTATATCGGACACCTATCATTATTTGGTGTTTAAGATTAACTATTGAGTAAGTCTTATGGTATTTGAGATTCGTAAGACTTAACACATTTCCAGATTTTATTATTTATCATGACAGAATTTGGGTAGCATAGCGGCTGCGTATATAGTATTTTCCAAGTTTCAACCAATGTGAAACCAACAACTCCATAATATTTATAATTCACGTGATTAATACAACGTACTCTTTCGCATATAACGACTTTTAAGTTCTGAAATATATTTTGTTATTCATCGCAATAAAATTCATAACTTATTTGAATGACTAATATTTTTATATTTAATATAATAATTTATGATTTAATTTTACATTAATTTTTACATATATATATATATATATATACACACACATATATATATATATATATATATATATATATATATATATATATATATATATTAAAAGTTAAATTAATTTAAACTATTAATATTATATTTTTATAATCTTGGTCTTTCTATCAGATTTAACAATGTACATTTTCTTTATACTCTAATAACCTTTTTGATTTCATAATATCTTAATATACATATAAATAATCGCAAAAAACTATAATTATTTTAACTTTTAGCAATCTATTTTACTTGAATAATTTATAAATGATTTATGACATTTTAAATTGCTATTTAATAAGTTTTTGATCAATAATAAAATATGATGCTATTTTAACGTATAAGAATTTATGAATCGTCAAAACTTAATTAGACATGCATGTATTATCCCGAAATATTAAAGCAGTAAAAGACGGGCCGTAGAAACTCATATTCAAAGTGTGAACGAGATTTGTATTGTGAAAGTTGTCGTAAAACTTCCTACGTGACATTCCTTTCTCCTAAGACGAACCACCGAATATATTTAAATTACCTAATAAAACCAAAATGGTAGTTTTTATATTAATTATTATGTGTAGGGTGGTCCTTGTGACAAGTAATTTCTAGGGATTGATTTTCCAAGAATCATACAATAACGGACTGATCTCGTAAATTATTTCCAAAACAGGGGGTTGAAATGCACATTTTAACCCTAGTTTGGAGTGTTTGGACCAAACTTGTTAAGGTTTCCGAAGGGAGGGGCTGATCTTGATTATATTAAATGGCAGTTTGACTTAAATAAAAATTATTTCACACTAGGGACCGATTTCGTAAATTCATTTAACTTAAATTGAAATTAGGGCTTTTACGTTCATTTGCGTTTCGTGACTGATCGAGCAACAGACAAACGACGAAGCAGGGGGAAAGAGGAACCAATCGGCGGCGACTCTTCGTGGTTCTCTCCCGCCGTCGGTCGCAATGAGGACCAACTGCGAAGCGATGACTGAATGTGGTGAGAGGGAAGCTCGCAGGTCCGCTGTCCGCTATTTCGGATGTCGTGACCAATTGAGATCGTCTCCGGGGCTCGAAGAGGCTGAAGAGACGGAGGGAAAAGGGGAGGTCTTAATCTCCGGGGTCGGCGAGGCCGAAGCGATGTAGTCATGAAAAGCAGCGAAGTTTCGCTCGTCCCCTCCGGCTGTGAGGTGCGAAGGAGGAAGGGAGGCAACGAGGCTGCAGTGGCTTCGGTGGGTGCAACGATTGAGTGAGACGCGATGTAAGCTGATTCAATGGAGCAATCAGTCGATGATAGCATCTCCGGTTCTTTGCTTGATCGCGGAAGGAAAGACGAAGGCAGCCGGGCTTATAGGTGGTGATTCTTCAACCGGAAATGAACGGAATTAACAGGTATGGCTTTTTGTTTTGTTTTGACAGAAATCAATAGATTTAATTATTTAAACAATGGTTTTAAGTGTGTGTTTGTTTGATGTTTAACAAAATTCAAAGGAGGAACAAAATGGATATTTGGGTATAATTTTTCACAGATTTGATTAGGGCTGTTGCTGTGTTGACAAGAGAAACAGGAAAACGGAGGAGAAAAGGGGTGTTTTTGGCTGGTATGATCGACGGGAACAAGTGGAGAGTTGCAGTCGATTGAATAAACAATGGAAGATGGAGTGAATATGAAGGAAAAAGTATGAGTGTAGAAATGTATAAAAATCTGAATTTTCTTTTTTTTAGTAGATTTTCATAGATTAAAAAGACAAAATTGCAAAAATGGTCCCTGTGTTTGGCAAAATTATGCGACTTTGGTCCAAAACGATAGTTTGATGCACCACTGGTCCAAAATTGGATTTTTCCATTGTTTTTGGTCCCTCCCATTCACTTCCGTCCGTATACTCCGTTACATACAATAAAGACCGGGGTATTTTCGTCTTTCCACCTCCATATCATCGATTACCGCCATATTGAATGATATACACAGTTAATGACCCTTCACTCTACTCTACGCACTAAACCCAACTTGTTGATCGAAAACCCTAATCGTTCATTGAAATCTTGCATTTGATCATCAACCGCAATCGTAAGTTTGAATTCACGAGGGAGGTCCAAATGTGGGAAATCAGGCCAAGAAATCAGTGTTTTGATGCAATCCGAATTTACGGTAACGTACTCTGTTTCTTACATATTTCTTTGAAACAAAAAAAAAATCTTTTACAATCCATATAAAGTAATGTTTTTTTGGTTTGGTTCATGATTTTTACAGAAGGATATCCCACGATGTTCACTATTGAGCTCCATCATGGAGGGAGGTTCACAAAATTCCCAGGGATAAGCTACATTGAAGGAAAATTAGACCACATTGACTTGGTAGACATGGATGAGTTCTCTGTGCATGAGTTGGACGAGGTGATGCTGAAGCTTGGTTATGATGTACCACCAGTCATTTACTACCACTATCAATTGCCAAATGGAGATTTGGAGTTTGGTCTTAGAGCTCTAGGGAATGATATTGATGTACTTAGTCTTGCACAGTACATTGAACATCATAAGATCATCAAGGTATACACTGAACATAATGAAACTAAGTTACTTACATACTTTATGTCTCCAAGAGTTAAACCTAGGGTCATAATTGAGGAAATAGCAGATGATGTGCCCACTGCAACTGTTGGTGATCAAGATGTCCCAAATCTTGAATTGTGTTTAGTAAGATATGAGACACCCGAATACAATTCAAATAAGAGATTGAGGTTAGTTGATGGGAGTCAATCATGTAGTAAGAAATTGTGTTTCAACTTGGAACACACTGCAACTGTTGGTGATCAAGATGCACATGTTGAAATTGGTAATGAAGGTGCAAATATTAGTGAGCAAGGTGCAACTGTTAGTGGTCAAGATACACATGTTGAAATTGGTAATGAAGGAGCAAATGTTAGTGATCAAGGTGCAACTGTTGGTAATCAAGATACAGAAGTTCATGATCAAGGTGCAAATGTTGGTGACCAAGAAGTAAATACAAGAGAGTTTGATACCTTTGATGACCAACCATTTCAATTTGAAGACTTTGATCCTTTCTTTGATCAATATACTTTTAATGATGGTAATGATCAGAGTATGGGTGTTGGTGCAGAACTTGGCACAGGACTAGGGGAAGTTCAATTTGAAAGTGAGGGAGTTTGTGAAGGACTTGGTGAAGGAGGTAGTGAAGGGGGTAGTGAAGGGAGTGAGGAAGACAGTGATTTTCTTGAAGATGAAGAAAACTATGTAAGTGATATTGAGGTGGACATGAGTGATTTCTATATGAATGTTGATCTAGATGTTGAATATGTTGACAGAGGAAAAGGTGTTGAGACTGAAAATGAAGTTGTTGATACAGAAGATGTTGAAGATGTTGAAGTAATTGATAATGATGAATGGGACTCATTAGGTGAAGATAGTGATGATGAAAGAAGGAAAGCAATATTAAAACAGATGGTGAAGGAGAAGAAGTGCTCTCTTGGTGAAGTCCATACAGTTACTTTTCAAGTGGGTCAAAAGTATAAAAGTAAAAAGGAAATTAAGAACAAAGTCAACAAACTTGCCATTGAGACTAGAAGGAATCTTGGCTTCAAGAAAAACGACAAAACAAGGCTTAGGGTTGTGTGTAAAGGTAATGTACCTAATGTAAATGCAAGTGGGGTAGGTAAGGGCAATAAATTAAATTGTTCTTGGTCAATGCAGACTTCACGGTCAAAAGATAGTGATTATTGGTATGTGAAAACTTTACTGGACAAACATACTTGTGTTCAAACTAGAAAACTTAGGGCTTGCACTGCGAAGTATATATCTGCAGAAATCTTAGACATGGTCGAGTCTAACCCTACAGTACCCCTTCGAAGCATTCAAGAGCAAGTTCAGAAGAGGCTTCAAGTTGGTGTGTCCATACACAAAGTACAGAGAGCAAAAGCAACAGCTACAAAGCAAGTGAGTGGTGACTACACAAAGCAATACGAGGTGTTAAGAGATTATCTTATGGAACTACAAGCAACTAATGTGGGTACAACTGTGAAGCTTGAGGTTGTTAATGAGCCTAACAGTACTAGAGAAACAAGGCAGTTTAAAAGGGTGTATATTTGCTTAGGGGCATTAAAGAAAGGGTTTAAAGCAGGTTTAAGAGATATTCTGGGACTAGATGGTGCTTTTATGAAAGGACCCTTTCCAGGCCAAGTACTCACAGCAGTTGGATTGGATTCAAACAACGGCATATACCCACTTGCATATGCCATTGTTGAGACTGAAAATATGAGTAGCTGGAAATGGTTTCTAGAATGCTTGGGAGATGACTTAGAGTTGTGCTCAAATTCTAACTTTACTTTCATGAGTGATAGACAAAAGGTACTATTTTCTTCTTTTTGTATTACTAATAGTTTATTTGTATATGATTGTTGCAATGATTATGTGAAATAATCCTTTACAGGGACTCTTACCTGCTATAGCACAACTATACCCACAGGCTGAGCATCGATTCTGTCTAAGACATATTTATGAGAACATGAGGAAAAAATGGAAAACAAAAGAGTATAAAGATCACTTATGGCAGTGTGCAATAGCAACCACAGTACCAGAATTTGAACACTACATGAATGAACTTAACAAGTTTGATAAGGATGCTTTTGAGTGGTTGAAGAAAATCCCCCCTCACCATTGGGCCAGAAGCCACTTTTCAGGTTACATTCCCTAACTTAGGTGAAGCTTTACTAGTGCTCATTGTATATGGTTTAGTTCATATAATTTTCTTGTTTAATACAGGCAGAGCAGGATCAGATATATTGCTCAACAATTTATGTGAGGTTTTCAACAGTAAGCTTATTCATGGTAGGAATAAGCCCATCATAAGTTGTCTTGAGTACATCAGGCAGTACCTTATGAAGAGGATTTGCAATGTGAAGAAAGTGATGTCCAAAGCTCCAGGTCCACTCACTCCAACAGCATCAAAGTTACTTGAGAGAAATAGGGAAGCTTCAGTCCAATATAGAGCTAGATGGAATGGGACTGCAAAGTATGAAGTTTATGGTCCTTGGCATGACCAGCATGTGGTTGACATGAAAAATATGTCATGTACATGTAGAAGGTGGGAATTGAATGGGATTCCATGCAGGCATGCCATAGCTACAATACATGAAATGGCTGATAGTGGAGACAAAGTTGGGGAGCTTTACACTTATGTTAACAAAGTGTATTGGCTTCAAACATGGAATGAAGCTTACTCTTACACTGTGGACCCTATAAAGGGTAGAGCCATGTGGCCAAAAAGTACCTGTCCATTTCAATTAACACCACCACCACATCACAATCAACCTGGGAGACCTAACACCAAGAGAAAGAGAAGTGCAGATGAAAAATATGATAAACAGATGCAAAATCATGGTGCAGGTGAACCTGAAAAACTTACCAGAAAGTTTGTTAGTGTTAGGTGTGGGAAATGCAACAATAGGGGTCATAACTCAAGGACGTGCAAGGGTCAAGGTGGGAATGCAGGAAGAAATGAAGGAGGGAATGCAGGAAGCAGTCAAGGAGGGAATGCATGATGCAGTCAAGGAGGGAATGGAGGTAGCAGTCAATGCAGGAATTAGTGTATTTTGTTTAAAAACTTATCTTTTGGTTTAGCACAACTTTTGTGCATTTGGATGTAATGGTTTAAAACTAGTTTGTTGTAATGGTTTTATTTTGGTCTTTTAGCCCTTTTGGTCATGAAACTAATGTCAACCTTTTGTCATTGTTGAAGAATGATGTTTATGGTTTATACCAACTGTTGGTTGTCATGTTTATGGAACACATTTTTGGTTATAAGAACTGTTTTCTGAAACAACAAATATACATTAACATTCGGTGATAACTGCAATACATTGTCATTATATCCTTGAAAAGGTTACAAATTTCTGAAGTTGTCCAAAATAACCCTAAACTGATATTACATTATCAAATACCAAAAACTACCACATTCCCTAGTTACAATTTCATAAGACAAAAAACACCCAAAAATTACATGCAACTACAGGGGTCCCTAATTGCTTATTACTAAATGAAAAGCACCCAAACCACCACAAATAGTAACCAACTTGCAAACAAACACATCTTCAATCTTGCCACTTGATAGTTTACATTGTTGATATTCCTCAATAATCCGGGTATTATCAACATAGATCGTGCACACATGGGAGGATCAATCCATCCTAAGAATCGGCATCTGGAACCCTTCACATAAAAAAATAAACCCTAAACATGAGGGTGATTTTCCAAAATGAGGGTAAAATAGCAAAATCGAACACTTACCTTTTGAGGGCAGGAAAGAAACCTCCGACCAGGGTTTGCTGATGTCCAGGAGGTGCGAACCACCGCTTCCCTACCACAGAAACACATCACCATTTTAATTTTTGATCTCTAAGAAATTGTGAACACAGAGTAGGAAGAGTATGAAGCTCGTGAAGTTGAAGAAGGAAGAGTGATGTAGCTCTGCTTTTATTTTGAATAAGGTTGCAAAAAAGGTCCCTGTATGTGGAAAGACGAAAATACCCCGGTCTTTATTGCATGTAACGGAGTATATGGACGGAAGTGAATGGGAGGGACCAAAAACAATGGAAAAATCCAATTTTGGACCAGTGGTGCATCAAACTATCATTTTGGACCAAAGTCGCATAATTTTGCCAAACACAGGGACCATTTTTGCAATTTACTCGATTAAAAATGATTTTGTTGTACAAGATTGGATTTATACGGAAATTTGTCGTAAAATCAGTTGTTTTGTATTTTATTTATTTATTTATTCTTTTTGTGATGAACATCCCCGATTCTCATCATGTCTCCGTAATTTTTTCATATTTTATGAAATTGCCTGCTCGTAGTTTCTGTCGAGGTGATTCCAAAAACGTATATGGAATTTAATCAGGATATACCAAACTCCGTGAATTTACGTTTAAAGTTCAGCGTTCAATAGAGTTGGGTTCGACAGATTTTAGTAATCTGATTTTGGTCAAAATTTAAAATATTATAAAAATACAATTAAAGAATATATCGGATATGAATTCAAAAAAATACTCAGAAATAATTTACGACACATGTAACTTAAAAAGTAATAACTTTCTCATACGATCTTCGTTTTGGAAAAAATTTATATTCACGAAATCAAAAAAACATAATCTATTCAAGTTTATTATCTGTAACTCGCGAATATACTTAATGCAAAATTTTATTTTTAACGTCAAAAATATGATTTAATTTTTAGTGATTTTTTATTGAATTGTTGACCATAGATGATTTAAGTAGTTTGTGATGTTTTAAAAGAAATTATAAATAAAATATACTTTATATACAATTATACATAAAATTAGACACAGCTGGTCATTAATACTTAGTGGTTCACGGTGGTGTGACTGTTGAACTCTAACCAATTTTTATCAATTGTTACATTATCTCCTCATTGAAAGGATTTTGTCCTGAAATTTAATGTGTAGATAAAATATTATAAAACAATTTGTGAAATTTTCATTTAGTTTGATCCATACATGATCTTTCTCAAACGTATTTAAGTCGCGTAACTATAGGTTAGATAACTGGTCCAACATATGACTTTACCAAAAGTCACAATTAAATAGAGAATGTGGAATAAGATCAAATTAAATATTTTAAAGGTTGTTGAGTCTTATATACAATTTAATCGTGTGCACTTTCAGAAACATGAGATTTTAGAATTATTTCTTAACTAGATTATAACCCGCATTAAACGTCGGGGAGCGCATATAAAAAACATACAAGTATCCACAAAACTCTTATAATGAATTTATTAAATTCTTGAATACATATATTAAAAAACTATAAATAAATAAAAAACAAAATATTTAATCATAAACTAATATATAATATTAAAATATCTTCATGAAAAAAAAACAACGGTTTTCGAATGCAGTTTGAAATAAATACAATCACATATTTCTACTTGGTATAGTAACTATCTCAAAATCTAAACAAAATGAAAACACTTCAAGCTAATGATGTGCCGAAACGACATGTTGAATCATACTTCCTTTAAAGAAATAAAAGATATTGTTTCGATAATACTACCATTCATTTCCACCGGCATTGTAATTAGTAACATCTACTTTAACCCACTAATTCTGAATGAAAACCCAAATAGTCCACAAATGATCACCACTAATAGAAAAATATCTCAATTTTCCATCAAACTTGTTAAGCATTGATGTATAAGAGTTGATATCATATATCACTTAATATTCTTCCGAATATACATCGAATCGTAAAATGTCATAGTTAGACAATAAGAAGTAAACCACACCCCCACTTATAATTCCCTCATCCGAAACAGGATAAACAGAAGATGGTAATCGGATATTACGAAGCTCCCACCATTCTCATTTATTAGAGGCAAACAATTTTAGGTGGAAGTAATCATAGTCCACCTGATCCTTAAGCAGATCACAACAATGAAAATAACATATAAGTATTAAAATAATATAAAATAATATACCTAAAATATAATACAGATAAAATCTTACGATGACAATGCGTATGATAATCGAATGATCTTGAAATGCAATGACTTCCAACTCATAACGACTGTAGCAAACTTTACCGCAGTGTATTTAGATATTGGAAATGGTAACGATTTGCAATCTAAAGTCATTTCTTTACAAACAAATCAAAACTTTTCTGGATATTCATCTTCGTTATCACATTCACCAACAATCAGTTCGCACAAGGAATATGCTAAAATTATACATGAATTTCGTATACAACTAAATGTCAAAACTTTTCTCAGCACAAGACATAACAAAACGACACTCTACAGTTCCCCATGGTTTTTTTTTTTGAATAATGACTCCCAAAACCACATTATTTCTCCGCTTGTAGAAATTAAGAACATGTTTGTTGTATGTTAGTTTTTTTTTTTAATATTTTACTTATACAACGTAAACTTTGAAATGTCTGTAATGATATTCTTGAAAGAATTTAATAATCATGTTATAGTCCAAAGATGAGAAATGAAAAAAAAACAGTTAGCAAAAGGAGCATCCTAAATGTAGAAATAAATTCATATGTCACATGTTTGATGTTAAATTTTGTTTCCAATTCAGCAATGATTGTATTATCATCGGTGAACTTTAAAATTTTATAACCATCAACTTTGTGCTTAAATTATCATTTAAATTTTGAATTCTGAATATTAACTTTTTATCCAAAAGTACATTCAAAGCAAATGGATAAATCTCCATGTTACCCTCCAACAAAATAGATAGACAAAAAATAACAATTAGTTTTATGTAAATGATGTTAATATCGATAACCTAGTTAAACTTTTTAAGCAACTCTTGTGCAGTTTTTTCAAGAAGTATCTTCGCGTCTTGATCAAATAAAGTAAGTCACACCAAACCGGTGAAGTCTTGTACTATGATGGTGATTTTGAAACTAAAATCGTTGATATAAACAAAATTCAGTAATATAAAAGGGGCATAAACTGTCAAATGTGTGATAGTTGTGTTTTGGGCTATGAATCCTTATAGATAATAAGCGGGACGATTTGCAAGATAAGGATATCTTAAAATCGTCCAAGGTTATCATCTAGAAGGATCTTTGGATTGCTTTGAGGCTAAGTTATCCAATTAGGGTTTAGGGTGAAACCCTAGGAGCTCATAGTATAAATAGATCCCTTGGGTGAGGGAAATCGGCCACTTTATGATTCAGGAAACCCTAGGGCTGATTTCTCACCTCTGTCCCTCTCTCAAATCATACTCTTGTTAGTAGGTGTTTGTAAGCCATTAGAGGAGTGACAATTGTGACTCTAAGCTCCAAGAACAAGAAGTTTCAAGCAAGCAACTCAAGGTATTCTTCTAGATCCGATTTCATGTGTTATGAATTATTTGTTTACACTAAATCTATGAATGAAAGTCTTGGATACATTGCATGTTCAATTAGAGAAACCTAGATCCAAGCATTAGGGTTTGCATGTGCACATAGGAAAGTTCTTATGGCTCCAACCCATCATAAACCCCATCTATTTGTTGGGGATCATGGCTCTCAAGAGGCTACACTAACTCATAGAAGGGTAAAAGTCCATTTTACCCCTCAATGACCCTAAATGTCCATAATTTGACCCAAACCCTAAAAGTCAACAAAAGTCAACGGCTGGTAGTACGCCGCACGTACTAGCTCCTTACGTTGGGCGTACTTGGCTGCCATGCAGATAACCCCTATGATGCGTGTACTGGAATTACGCCCAATGTACGGTCCAATTTCATCCTTCTCACTTGTTTGTTCTTAATCAGTTAAGACCTTGGCTCATATCTCAAATCTAGACTCTCTAATAGCTCTTAACCCATAAAGTCAGGGAATTTAAACCGTTGCATGGCTAGAAAGGTCCCAAACACACAAAACACTCACCCCCTTATAACAAAAAGCACATATCTCATGCATGGCTTGATCCCAACGTCCAAGATAGGATTTTTATGACACAACACCACTGAATATACTCAAAGGAGGGTGGATCATGGTCTCTGGACTACAAAATCACATAAAGTCTCCAACTTTTGGGAAAAACCCATAGAGTACTCTACTAAGATGCGAAAACCAAAAGAGTGAGAAAGCTCTGAGCTATATTGTAACAGCCCGAAATTTCAAGTATTGTTAAAATTATATTTTAGGGGGGACTCGGCGAGTTGGAGCCAGACTCGCCGAGTAGGATCGCAGACCTAGTCGCGGGTTCGCGACTGGAC